CCCCCCCCCCACTGCTTCCTCTGTCCCCTGCGGTCTACTGCACCCCGGTGTCCTGGGCCGATTTCCGTGACCTTCCCTGAGCCATCTCCCCTCCCGTCCTAAGCCCCCGCAAAGACCTCGGTGGGGCCGGAGAGACGTGGCCATGGGACTTGGGAGAAGAGGGTGGGCCGCTGGGGTTACCGTGGACTCAGATCTCACACCACGTCCCTGGGAGCAAGGGAAGGGGAGAGGGACTTGTCCCGGGGAGCACTCGCACACCCCCCTTAGGGCCGTGAAAGGAGGGTCCTGGCGGGGATAGAGTCCTAGTGAGTTTCTCTCCCCGCCCCCACTTCTGTCCTTACAGTCAGCGTCACCGTGGGAGGCAAGCAGTACCTTCTGGGACTCTATGACACGGCTGGACAGGTGAGTGTGCTGGCTCCTGGCCTGCTGACAGCCCTCTCCTTTCCTCAAGTCTGGCCAGCTGTTAAGGACCTTTGTCCACTCAAGGTATCTAAAGAGGGACACTGTGTACCGGAGGGCCCCCTGCTTCCAGGTCTCAACACCCCCCCCCCATTTTTTAAGTCTCCAAATTAGGAAGAAACAAAAGCACTGGGACTAGCCCATCCCGGGGCTGTGAAAGTTTTTGCCGGGTGCCCTTCTGGACGGCGCCTGCTGCGTGCGGGTCCCCACTCCTGTTGCAAAGTGGCAGTGGCCAATCAGGAGGCGCCCTTATTTTTAGTTGCAGATGGCCAGGTCTCCCCCTGGCAGCCTCTGCCTGGGCCCTCATTGGCGAGTGGGCTGCCTTCCCGAGGCGCCTGATTGGTGGAAAATGGCATCATCTAATATGATGGGAAGGCATTTGGTCCGGGTTGTGTTTATTACAACATCATTGCTCTCTGGGACTCGAGTCCCCAGGAAAAAAAAACACAACAGCAAAACCAACAACCAAAACCCAACATGTAACCCATGGTGTTACCAGAGTGGAAAAAAGAAACAACACAATTAGCAACTCCCTGGGGAGGAGGAGAGGAAGGGTTAAGAGTTTAGTATAACTGGAAAGGCACTAAGAAAAAAATGTATACATCTCCTTGGAAGGGTAGGTGACTTTTGGTTTTCTTTGGGAAATACTATTGGACAGGAAAAAGGGGTGTTTTTGTGTAGTCTCTGGCCAGAGTTTGCAAATTTGAGGGAGCTAGGGTTTGCTGCAAATAGATTAAGATCTCTTTCTTATCTTCCTGTCCCAGTTCTGCCTCTTTTCAGGCTGGCTTTGCCCTGGAGCTAAGGATTGCTGTAGTAAAGTTTTTCAGATTTCAAGCCAGCTGGTGGCCTACTGCTTTGGTAGTTGCACTGTCAAGCCAGAGGCAGGTGGTTTGAATCCACCAGCTGCTCTGCAGGAGAAAGATATGCCAACTCCTCCTGTGTGATTTACTGTCTCTGAAAACCCACGGGAGGGTCAGGTATGAGTCGGTTCTGACTCAGCTGCAAGGAATTGAAGTTGAGCTCTGTGATTGGCCTGGAATACTCAGCATAATTCTGCACACGTCATGTAGACTTAAGAACATGACAAGAACTCAGCGAGTCAGAGCTTGCCTGTGGGGGCAGTCAAGGAGTATAGTTTCCTTATCTGTAAAAGCCCAAAATCAAATTCACTGCTGACCAGTGGTCTGGACTCACAGTGACTCTCTCTGGGATTCCCAGTGTGGTAAATCTAACAGGAGGAATTGTCTTATCTCTCTCCATTAAACTGCTGATCTTCCGGTTAGTGGCCCATGTTTAACCTACTTACTATACTTATTATGCTAGAGCCCTTTCCTCAGTTGTAAAGTAAACTTTGAGCAGGTTGTCAGGTCGTGGTGGTGTTTACCACTGAGTCGGAACTGACCCATAGCCGACCCTCTGGTGGGTTTTCAGAGGCAGTTAATCACACGGGAGGAGATTGCCCATCTTTCTCCCGCAGAGCAGCTGGTGACCTGGAACCGCGTGACTCTGGGATGGCAGGAGGGGTCTAATATAAAGTGATGCAATATTTGTGTAGGGAGCTCTGCTGGCCTCCTATGTAAATGTTGCTGGGCGCCTTCGAGGCAAATTACAACTCATGGGGACTCTGTGAACAACAGATCTGAACCTTGAAATGTCTGTGATATGCCAGAGCCCACTGTCAGTCACTGTGTCAGTCCAATTTAGGGGTAGCTTTGTCGGCTGGTTTCCCCTGACCCCCGATATTTTTTGATCAGTGATAGTACCATTTTGGAAGGTGAGAGCTCAGAGAAGCTAAATTGCTTGCTTACAACCACACAGAAATGTTCAAAATCCCTAGCTCTAAGAGAGATGAAAATCAAAACAACTATGAGATATCATCTCACCCCAGTCAGAATAGCAAAATTTAACAGA